TTTAAAAAACCCCTCTAGAAACAATATAGATCTGTGATCTGTTTAAGGACCCCTATTTAGAGCAGCCTCGCCAGCTATGAGACACGCGAAGAACTGAGGTCTGAGGTTCAAGCTTTAACTCCTTCTGGATCGTAGCCTTCCGGAGCAGCATGGGCCTATAATATAGTATTAAGAAATGATGATCATAGCAATAATGAAAATCATCCTAATGAGGAGAAGAAGAAGAGTGGGTTGCACATGCGTGCTCGTGCGGTCAGAGGACCTCTGGTGACTGAAGGTCCTTACTCGTCTGTGTGCGGCTTCCACCGTGCCAAGAACACATCCGCTCCAATGTCACGCCTACTAGCACCACTATGGCATTATAGTTCTGTGCTAGTAGTGCTGTAGTAGCGTCCCGACAAAATCATAGTATAGATGATCACAATACGACCATAGTAGCATGGTAGTAGTACAAATTTTCAAGCATCATAGTATCTTCCGTCTGTCGGCCATCTGCCTCATTGAGAAGGACTTCGAAAGGAGCTTCGCCCGGGTGGGCACTGCACACCTCAAGCACTAGCCCTAAACCCTAAGCCTCTAAACCCTGAGCCCTAAACCCTAAGACCTAAACCCTAAACCCTAAACCCCTCATCGCTGTTTCTGACATCCGATCTAACTTCCGACACGGCGGCGGCCGAGCTTCACGCCCTGAGCTTCAGCTTGTAGTCCAAACTCTTGACGAACTTGCTGCCTTGCCTGGGTGTAGGGGTTTAGGTTAGGGTGTAGGTTTGAGTGTGTAGGGTTCAAGGCTTTAGGGTTCAGGGTTTAATGTGGGGCCTAAATAAGGCCAGGGTGTATTTTTCTTTGTTACGTGGCCTCTATCAGGTCTAAAAATGGCAAGCGGCCACACAACAAAAAAACAAACATCACTTCCGCCGAAATAATTGCTGATACTATTTTGTGGGCTCCTGATTATAGTTATAGTATAATATACCGCAAAACCCTATTCAAATTATTAAGGCCCCTACATTGGGGTTGAGGGAGGTTTGCAAAAACCCTAACCCCTAAACCCTAAACCCCTAAACCCTGAACCCTAAACCCTAAACCCTAAACCCCTAAACCCTAAACCCTAAACCCTAAACCCTAAACCCTAAACCTCAGGCCGCGGCAGCAGAGTCGGATTCCTGGGGCGAGCCAGATGCCACAGGTCGCTCAGAGTCCTTCCCCAAGACTGTTTCGACATCTTGGGTTTAGGGGTTTAGGGCATTGGGGTTTAGGGTTTAGGGCATTAGGGTTTAGGGCTTTAGGGTTTACTGCGGTAGGACGAAAGTT